ACACACACACACACACACACACACACACACACACAGGAATATCACTCAGCCATGGAAAAGAATGAAATCTTGCCATCTGCAACAACATGGATGGATCCAGGTAGTATAGTGCTAAGTGAAACAAGTCAGTCAAAGACAAACACCTGTGGAATTTAAGAAACAAAACAAAGTAAAAAAAGACAAACAAAAAACCAGCTCTTACTTACAGAGAACAAACTGATGACTGGCAGAGGGGAGGTGGGTAGGGAGACGGGTGAAACAGGTGAAGGGGATTCAGAGTACACATATCACAACGTGCACCGGGCAAGCTACAGAATTGTTGAATCACTGTATCACACCCCTAAAACTGATGTAACACTGTCTGGTGATTATACTTCAATAAAAAAAGAGAAATAAAAACGAACAAATTTTCAACAACACTGGACTTCCATTTCAGAGGCCAATTTACCACCCAGGCTGAAATAGTTAAGAAACCAAAAAACACATGCATATGAAACAGTTTCGAGACACTGGACGTGTGACCACAGAGAGACGGTGATCTCTGAGAGATGCCCTGGGTTCGCCCCTGCTCAGTGTCATGAGATGGTGTGCTAGCCACAGCACGGGGCGTGGGAACCCAAGCAGGGCCCAGCTCATTCCTGGAGTGGAGGACATAAAATGGGAGTGGGGAGAGACCAAGTTGGCTGGACTGTGCAGAGCAAAGTACGACAGGAAAACTCCTCAGGGGAAGAACTCCAACGATCTTGAAAGGGTCATCCTTAGTCTTCAGCGGGATAAAGATCAGCTCAGGTACACGAGCAAACAACCCACAGCTGAGGAAAGAACCACTCAAAAACGTCAGAAGGAGCAGTATCCAACCATCACCGAGGGCCAGGAATGGGGCCTGTTCCCGCGAGACAGTAACAAGGCCTCAGAAATCAGCAGCATTATTGCCTTGATGTGAGAACAATCGGCCCTACGGGAGATGCCGCTCTGGCCCCGCCTGGCAGGCCTTCAGAGCAAAGGATACAAAAATACAGCGCCCAGCAGTAAGATTCACAGTGTCCGCTACCCAGTCAAAATTTGCCAGGCAAGCGTAAAAGCAGAAAAGTACAACCAGTGATAAGGAGCAAAGTCAATCAGCTGAAATTTATCAAGAACTCACACAGAAGTGAGAATTAGCAGATAAAAACACTGACAGGGTTATCACAACTGTATTCTGTATGATCTGAAGAGTAGAGGGCACAGACTAAACACGTTGGAGTCCTAGAAGGGATAAAACAGGTCTAAACAGGACTTCCAAATATAAAACCTGCAGGGTCTGAGAAAAATGCGATAGATGGGATTAAATGCAGTTTTCACACTCGAAAGAAAAGATTAGTGAACATGAAGATACAGTAATAGAAACTATCCAAAACGAAACACACAGAGAAAAAACCTGACAAATAAAGGAAAATCCTTGAGTTTGGGGCAACTTCCAGGGCACCAGTGTACATATAATCAGAGTCCCTGAAAGGCGGGCACAGAAAGGAAAAGAAAAAAACATCTGGAGGAATAATGGCCAAAAATGTCTCAAATTAGATGTAAACCATAAATTCCCGGGTCCAAGAGACTCCATTAACCCAAAGAATAAGAAGCATAAAGAACACTACTCTAAAGTACATCTTAATCAAACTATTCAAAGTCAATGATAAAGAGGACATCCTAAAAGCAGAGAGAGATAAAAGACAGTTTAAAAGATGATGACAGAAGATAACTTGTCAAAAATAATGCAAGCAAGGAGACAGTGGAGTGACATCGCTGAACATCAGCTTCTAAAAAGTCATTTTACAAAACAACAAAAAAGGTGAATAGACAAATGTTTATTCTCCCCAAACTAAAAGACAGTCTTTATCAATAGCTTCGGACAGACTGGAAGCCTATAACCCTCACGAAACATTTCATAATTTTTTGACTCTTTCAGACTAAGGTCGAGTTTCTGGAAAGACAGCAAGACCAATACACGAGTGACAAACAAAAATGTACAGTACCTAATTTTGTCTTAAGGGTCTTCACATTTTCAAGTTCTTGTTCCAACTCCATTATATTGCATTCCACTGATGAAGACAGTCCTAGCAAAAGCAAAAACATTTTAGGAGTATAACAACAGAACCCAACAGTATAGAATGGGTAGCCCTCACATTTAATTAAAATACAAGACAACACATTACAAATCCTGATCATGGAGAATAAAAACAAATGCTGATTTGTGACTCACAGAAAAGTATACCTATTTCTTTACCACTCAAAACATCCACGTTCTTGCTGATTAAACACTACACGTTTCCTAAAGAATACCTTACTTTGATAAAATGTTTACTTGATCTGTTAATTTTTTATTTAATGACAGAAATACCGTATGCTTATTATAGAAAGTGAAAGAAATTCAAGATCTAATTCTCTATCCCACCTCCCTAAAGTGACACTCAGGAACAGCTTGGTTGATGCTTCCACACCTTTCCTCATACTCATGTATATATTCACATGTGCATGTACACCACACACATGGTCTCTATTATACAAGAATGGGTTAAATTGGACACGTTACTTAACCACTTGCTTTCCTCGTCAATGATACATCCATGTTTACAGATAGTGCCAACTTTAACAACTGAATAATATTCCACAGTATGGATGCACTTCAGTTTTATTCAGAATTATTCCACTTATGACTAGTCCTAGGTTTTCTGCTATTTTCTGCGACTACAATGTTGCAACAAAAATTTTTGTATGCATATCCAGTACACTCTAATTCTATTATTTTTGCAGGACAGATTCCCAAAATTCTGAGTCACAGGGTATAAGCATTTACAGTTAAGAGATATTTAGAGGTTATTCCCTTCCAAATATTGCAATTTATTGTAAGAATTTAAATTACTGTAATATTTCCATTTCCATTTATAGCTTTTGAAAGTATCTATTGTCTAATACCTTCCCTCGCACTAGATGCTGTAGTTCTTGAATTTTGGCCAATATGATGGATAAAAAATGTTGGTTTTTTTTTTTATGTTTATTTTTGAGAGAGAAAAAAAGAGAGAGAGACAGAGCGGGAACAGGGGAAGGGCCGAGGGAGAGGGAGACACAGAACCTGAAGCAGGCTCCATCCAGGCTTTGAGCTGTCAGTACAGAGCCCGACACGGGGCTCAAATCCACAAACCATGAGATCATGACCTAAGCTGAAGTCCAGTGCTTAACTGACTGAGCCACCCAGGCGCCCCAAAAGTATTTTCTTATTGTTACTTTAACATATATCTCCCTAAATGTGGTTAAGCATCTTTCATATGTTTATTTACCACGTGGATTTTCCCTGTTCATATTTTCTACTTATTTCTATAACGACTTGCATATCTCCATATTCTGTTTTACCTGTTCAATTCTGAAATGGATAAATTAAAATCCCCCACTACAAATTTACTTTCATTGATTAGGTTTTCTCAGTTTTTAAGCGTTTTCTCAATATATATTTGCATTTATTTGTCTGCTATGTTTTTTGGGTTCCTAGAAGACTGTTACACCCTCCTTAAGAATCACATCTTTTGGGGCGCCTGGGTGGCGCAGTCGGTTAAGCGTCCGACTTCAGCCAGGTCACGATCTCGCGGTCCATGAGTTCGAGCCCCGCGTCAGGCTCTGGGCTGATGGCTCAGAGCCTGGAGCCTGTTTCCAATTCTGGGTCTCCCTCTCTCTCTGCCCCTCGCCCGTTCATGCTCTGTCTCTCTCTGTCCCAAAAATAAATAAACGTTGAAAAAAAAATTTTTTTTTTAAAAAATAAAAAAAAATAATAATAAAAATAAAAAAAAAAGAATCACATCTTTTACCATTAATGACCCACTTTGTTTTTAATGTTTTTCAACTTAAATTCTATTTGGTGGACCTTAAGTTCTACTTTCTTTTTGTTTTTATCTGTATTTGTTTTACTTATTTACTGATTTACACATGAGAGACCAAAAAAAGATTAAAATTAAAGGTAGATAGGTCTGTGTGTCTATCAATGAATCTTATTCGAGGTTCAACCTTATCAGTTAGATTTTGTTGGTTACAAGCAACTGAAATGGATGGACTGGGTACAACAGAAAAGGAATTCATGAGAGAGAGAGAGAGAGAGAGAGAGAGAACCAGCAGGAAAATTTCCAGTTTTCCTGGGAAGGAGAGGAACCAGGCAGCTGGGGGGCGCTCCGGTGGCAGGAACAGATGGACTGTCTCCTCTTCGTATTACCGCTGGGATCGATCAGTTCCAACGATTTTCAGTCTTTATGTTGCTCGGATCAAGAATAAACGTCCAGTGTCCTGAGGGCCTAGCTCAAGAGTCACAAGCCAATTCCTTCGGTAGGGGAGGCAGAGAACTCTGACAAGCAATTCCACGGAGGTGATCAAATGTGAGAAGGAAGAAAGCCAAATCAGATGCTTTACTACAATAGATCTGATAGGCTCTGTTCTTTAACAGTGGAATTCAGCCCATTTACATTTAGTAAAATATGTTATTTGCATTCAGTAGAATTTTGTATAAGAGCTGATAAACTGCATTTTATACCTTCCATATTGCTTGTCTTAATTTTTAAGTGTTTTTTTGATTTATTATTTTTTTAATGTTTATTTTGAGAGAGAGAGAGAGAGAGAGAGAGAGAGAGAGAGAGGGAGGCAGAGAGAGAGGGAGAGAGAGAGGGAGAGAGAATCCCAAGCAGGCTCCACACACAGTGCGGAGCCCAACTTGGGGCTCAATCTCACAACCGGGAGATCGTGACGTGAGCCAAAACCAAGAGTCAGACGCTTAACAAACCAACTGAGCCACCGAGGTGCCCCTTAAGTGTTTTTGTTCCTTTTACTTTTATCTTTACTAAAATGAAATGTGCACGTAGTTCTGACTGCCAAATACGTTCACAAGGTACACACACGCTGACCTGCCTCCCCGAAGACCACCACCTCAAATTGTTTAGCTGATTCTTTCAGCATTTATCTCCCTATCACTAAATAAACAGCTTCCCTCGCTAGGCCCTGATTTTCCAGCTCTAAGTATTAACTAGGGCCTTCCTACCAAGGAAGATAAGGATTTAAGTCTCCATAAGCCACACACCTTATCATTCCTCCCTCTCCCAATGTGGATGGTTGGAAACTGTGGTTACATCAATAGTCGATGTCTGCATGACTGCAACAGAAATGCCATCTGCTGCTTACCCACGTAACAAACTATGGTTAGCTTTCTTTTCTTCCATAATATTATTCTTCCAACCCCTAGAATTAGTCATTTTTTTCACTTGCTTAGTTTCCTTATGTACTCATCACTACCTCAATGCCAAAGTTTCCTCCCGAATGTCTTTTTCTCTCGGTGTTTGAATTCCTGTTATACCACTCATTTCGTTGCCTGGAAGAAATTTCTCCTGGAGTCTTTAGACCTGCCTGGTCTGGACTGCTGCTCTCTAGCCCTGCTGCACACTGGCACCCTGGCCCCTCTCTTCTCTCCCGCAGTACGTCTCTTATTTCCTACACAGCCCTTCTCACTTGCTCCGCTCCCTTACGTAGGGGGTGCGTAGCCTCCGGCAGCTTGTGAAGAACAGGTCAATGGGAAGTAATATTTTTGAGACTCCACAAGTCTGGATATTTTACCTTTGCTCTCGCAGTTTGGGAAGGTATGGAAATCTAGGTCAAAACTAATAATCCTTCAGAATTGTAGGTCACTGCTCCATTGTCTTCCAGCTCTGGCCCTGCATCCGAGAAGTCCGAAGTTCTCCTTCCCGTCCCCTTGAGTATGAACTGCTTTCCAGTCTGTGAAACGCGTGGAATCTCTGTTCCCAGTGTTCTGGTGGTGAGTCCATTTCCATGTACCACGCAGGGCACTAGGTGAGCCCTTTCAATCTCCAAATTCACATTCTTTGGATCTGAGAAATTTTCTTGATTCTGTCATTTCCCTCTTTCCTCTCCTCTCCCCATGTGGAATTCCTAATAGTTGCCTGCTATTTACCCTAAACTGGTTCTCTAAGATTCTTAAATCTTTTCTCCTATTTTTGTCATTTGACCCATCTTCTAAAAAAGTTCTTTACCTTCCAGTCTTTTGGATAGGCCATTATTTCTAAATATCAGAAGTCCCTTTCTGTTCACTAGATACTCCATTTTTAGAGAATCCTGGCCTTCCTCATGACTGCAATCTTGGTTTCTTTCTCTCAGGATGTTAACAACAGATTTATTTTCAGATATGCTTCTCTAGCGTATATTCTGTCTGTCCCAGTGCTCTGTATTGTTTGGCCTCTCCTTTCAAGTAGCTCAGAAGTCTGGTGAGCCTTAGTTGTCTGCTCATATTTAAGAGTGAAGCACGAGGGGCGCCTGGGTGGCTCAGTGGGTTCAGCATTTAACTCTTGATCTCAGCTCAGGTCTTGATCTCAGGGTCATGAGTTCAAGCCCTGCATTGAACTGAGCAATGGCTCCACCCTGAGCGTGGAGCCCACTTTTAAAAAAAGTGTTTTTAATTTTTTTTATACCGTTTATTCATTTTTGAGAGACAGAGTGCAAGCAGGGGAGAGGCAGAGACAGAGGGAGACGCAGAATCCGAAGCAGGCTCCAGGCTCCGAGCTGTCAGCACAGAGTCCGGTGCGGGGCTCGAACTCAAAAACCATGAGATCGTGACCTGAGCCGAAGTCAGGTGCTTAACCGATTGAGCCACCCAGGCGCCCCAAATTTTTTTAATAAAAAAAAAAAAAAAAAAGAATGAAGCGCTAAACGTGCTAATTTGAAACTCAAGAGTGAGTGGTGGCTGACCACTGTGAGACTTCTTGCCGGCTAATCCAAGCAGGGCACCCCGCAAGCAGGGCACTTCCTCTGGGCTAGACAGAGTCCTCAGAGACTCTTCCCATCTCCTCCGTGAATGTCCGTGTAAAGGGAGATGGGAGCCTGTAAGCGTTCACCGCGTCCCCTACAGTGTTCCCAGGCCACAGCCTCTGTTTCACTCTCTGGAGAATAACCCTCCCTCTTCTCGGGGCAGGAGAGGCAGTGCCTGGGACCTTGGATGGAGGGAGAAGATGTGGGCATCCAATCGCTTCAGAAACGGGATTTTCAACCAACCCTCCTGAGCTTACTCCACGTCATC